TCCCCTCCTGCCCCACGGGCTCACCACTGCTCCCACAGCCCAAGCCCCACTCTGCTCCTCGGGCCGTCACCAGCATCGCAAGGATAAAGGGCACTCATAAACGTCACCCCAAACTTCATCACACCATGTCATCGCACAAGTCAACCCGCATCGAGCACCAGACACCTGGAACGAACTACACGCCCTCACCGGGATCACCTGTTTGGGAAGGCAGCACCGGGGTCCATCGCCCTCCAGCCGCAGGAGGGGCAGCAGTGCCTCTGCCCCACAGCTGAGTGGCAGTGCCCGAGGTCAGGCTGGAGCGGTGACAGCTCTCCCAGACCCGCTGCAGCTTGCCCAAGCTGTGCCCGCTTCCCCAGCTCTTACAGACACAGGGAGGAACAGCAGCCACAACCCAGGGAAAAAGGCCTAGCATGGATTTTTGGGTTTGTTTTTCATACAGCAAAACAAAGTGGCTTTTAATAAACATTTATTGATGCAACCTTGTTACACCTTTAGAATCGCAGCTTCTGGAAGAACCACTTATTCTTGCCTGTCTTGTACCTGAACGAGAGGAACACAACTTGTTAGAGACTGGTCGGCAGCAGCAGGCAACAGCACGAGACCCGTACCCGAGGCGTCAGGATCCCCCGGCACTGGCAGGGCGCAGCGTTTGGCTCACCCAGAGCGATTCCCCCGTGCTCTGCAGCCTGGGCTGCAACTAAACCCAGTGCCCACCAGACCCCCGCATCCCGTCAAGGCTGCAGAGCAGCTTCTGAACAGAAAAGACGAGCTTCCAACTCACCTCTCCTCAAATTTCACCTTGGCTTCACGTCTCGCTTTGCGTTTCAGCGCGGGGTCCCTGAACACATCCTTATTGACCACGGTTTTATCCAGAGGAATGTCAACAGAATACCTGGGCATGAGAGCAGTGACGGTCATAAGAGCTGCAGTACCTGCACCAGGGTGAAATTGCAGCAGGTAGCCCACACCAGTTAAATGCAGACGACACCAGGTTAAGCCTCTGCAACACCTGAAGCCTTCTCAGTCCAGAAAATGCCCAAACCACTGCAGCACCCAGAGACATTTAACTTGGCCTACAGAGGAAACAGCCGCATGCTTCACGAGGGCGAAGCAGCTCCATCCATCATGCCGCATGTGGCAACCTGCACCAGCAGCAGCTCCAAGGGAAGGGAAGAAATGTCACCGGGCTGCA